CAGCTTACAATAAATCAATAAACAAACATAAGGCGCCGCCGTCTAAGTGTATTAATTTAATTAAAAACAAGTAAAGGAAAGGGTTAAAATACACTCACAAGGATGAGAGTAAATGGGCATATCATCAGTCCTTATTTGCTGGCAAGCCTCGATGGACAGCGGATGGATGAATGGATGCAATGCATCCTTAAAACAGCTCTGCAGGATAGGTAGAATAAAGCTGGACTCTGTCAGAAAGCAGATTAAGTCCGTATGACAGGCTGGGGTTTATTTACTAAAGCTGGAGAGTCCAAAATCAGACCCCCTTCTGCATAGAAACCAATCAGCTTCTAACCTCAGCTTGTTCAATGAAGCTTTGGCAATGAAACCTGGAAGCTGATTGGTTTCTATACAGAAGTGTGTCTGATTTTGGACTCTCCAGCTTTAGTAAATAAACCCCGCTGTGTCTTCCTCCAGCAGCAAATATAGCAGCACTGGAATGCAAGCACTAGGACCGGAATCAGAAGTGACGTCGGGATATATTGACGTCAAATCGTGATGGGTGGTAACATGTTTCAGAGCCCACAATCACTCCTTTGTCAAACTGTGCAGCTCTGACTAAAGTTGAATAATGCCCTTGCTACAGTTGTAGGCTGTTTGCGTACCTCATGAAGCCTGACTGGAATACTTCCAGGACATTGCTAACTGAGGCCTAATCTATATTGCTCACTTCCGCCATCACAAGAGTGAGCTCTCAGATGCTGAGCTTAGAGCTACTGCATCAGGGAAGAGAAAGAGCACATGAGGGGGTTTGAATGAGAGAAAGAGCTTGCTCCTGAAATGACGGAGGTGAGCAGTAATGACTAGGCCTCACTTAGCAACAACCTGGGAGTATTCCAGTCAAGCTTCATGAGGTACCTTTGCTTTGTGAGGCATTTACTGCTTTATGAGACATCGACCAAAACAAGCAAAGGAAAATAGCCAAAAGAAATACATACCTCTCCATAATGCAGGGGTTGGACCCCTTATCAACAGTCTACTTATTGCAGATTTTCCCTTACATCTTGTCGGATGATAACATTGCCACAGAAAATGAAGGTAGGGTTGATATCCCCAATGAGACCTCAATCCACTCAAACACAGATGCTAAAAACATGGCCATATGTGACTAGATTTTGACTAGTTCACAGAAACATTGTTCGGAAGAGCATTCATTCTTGCCATGACTGGGTCAACTAATTTAATTTGAAAGTCTTTAAAACATCAACCTGTTAGTTGAATGCAATTTTAGACATGTTAAGCAGGCCATACATGGGTCAGTTTTTTTTGTCCAACCAGTAGGTTGGAAAAAAAAAATTGACCCAATTACCTCATTCATACATTTGAGGTAGACAGGGGGAATCCTTCTCAATGTGCCTCTGTATTCTGACAGCTGGAAGACTCCCCCACCATTAGACTACAATGATCAGCACAGCAGTCTATTGCCTGCAACACTGATCTAGCAACAATCTAACAACAAAGCAGTTAACAGAAGTCAGTGGATAAATTGAATTCTGTTGAATCACAGTGGCAAAACATGGATCGAAATCCAGCCGGTCCATGCTGAACCAAACATATTTTGATCCATGTATGGCCAGCTTAATACAGGTTTCAATACAGTATGTAAGATTTTTCCTAGTAAATACCACATTTTCAGTTATAAACTGAGAAAATCTTTCAGTCTTGCACTTTTCTTCTTTTTTTTTTCTTGTTACCACATTGAAAAAGAAAAAGCAATTTAGCTTCACTAACCGTTAGGAAATCGAATGAACATTCCAAAACATTTTGAATTAAATGATACTGCTATATGCCCAGCTTTACCCTTCCCCACTCTATCCAAAGGTTTAAAAAAAAAAAAAGTTTTTTTTGCTTGAGTTGCACTTTAAAAATAGCTATGTTGATCAGCAGGATACCTGTAGGAAACAGAACTGAAATGCATCCCTATCATAGGTACACTAACCCAACTGGGCCCAAAGCACACCACTTTGTATTTAACATACATTTGCTGGCAGCCATTTGTAAACAGCATGAAACTTCTGGCAGAGTGATGGTTAAATATGAAGGCATGCTTACTCCAATTTATAAAAACTGGGAGAAAGAAAAGTGTATGGGTTCCCTTTACATTGGATTCTATCAGTTGTATTTCTAGTGCAGGTTAGAACTAGTATAATGTTTTACAAGAATACAGACAAACCATTATTATTGCCACAAAGACACAGTTACAAGGTCTTCCATGGAGTATGTAATTCCTCCAGTGTGTCAACAGTCATCTTTATATGTGCCAGCTCCATTAAGGAGCTCCAAAGACAATCCATTTGGAAAGGGCATCAGTATGATATGGTCTTGCTACCCGGGCAACAGTCCTATTGAGACACACTCCTGGATCATTGAACGTCTCACCCTATGATGACAATCCATTCTTTTCACTTGGTGCGCTTGTGACTTTGCTCCTTTGGTCACTGCAGGTTATAACCACAGCTCCTGATAAGACAGGTGAAGATAACGGATGAAAAGTAGATCTGATTACTTTCTAAGCAACACAGAGACTTCCTTCCAGGTTTTCTATTGTGCCCTAATGAACAAATCATCATTGAAAACATAATCTGCTTTCAAGCCATAAGACATGATTGTTCTCTACTACTCTGATCAATTTTCGAGTACAATAATGACATGAACAGAGATGAGGTCATATTTGTTGGAAGATTATGTCCAAACTCCAAGACAGAACAAAACATGTGCAGTCATTACTTCCAATGAGTTTCATTAACACCACAACAGTATATTCTATTGTGACAATATTTTCTTTACCTTATTTTTCTCACATAAAACATAGCCCTACAAATAGAAAATCTATGTCATTCATCAAAATACACTGAATTCTTCCAAATTTGAACACAAAAATTACATCCTAAGAGATTCAATGTTACCACTGAACCAAGGGTTCAGGCTTCACTGAAAAACTGAACGATGATTGGTTCCTAAAAATGGATTAAGGCATAGTGTCAGGCCCAGGGATTTATGGGTAATCTGCAATATGGCCGCCTGTGTAATCTCCGAGTACAACCCCAGTGTCACACTGAACAGCAGTGCGGACAGGCTGGTAATAAGAAGACAATGGGAGTTGAGGAGAGGCACTTCTTTCTCTTAGTGTCACTATCTCTGGTTCCTTTGGTGTGTGTAGAGTTTGGGCTATGAAGGCTTTATTAAAGTTATGCAACTTTACTTGTTTTACTTGGAAGTGCACAACCCTCATGTTTCTGTAAGATTACAGATTAAAATTATGTTTTGTTCTGCATTAAAAAAAAAAAAAAAAACCTGGTAAACTCAATCAGAAATATATAAACAGCAATGACTAGGAAAGTCGTGGTTGGGAGTTACAAACTCTTGTAAGCAAATTAGACTTTCTATTGTGTAAAGGCCATACTATAAGGCTTTATAAAAAGAAGTCTGTGTAGACCCAGCATGCAGTACGGCTAGAAGCATTCCATTCCATTATCTATAATTGCAATAGTCTTATTCTGGCCATACACAGCTCAAATTTCTGAAGTTTGTTGAGCCAGTAGGTACTGACAGGGCCACCCATAGCTTGAATTCTGTTTAATTCATCAGAAATTGTACAAAATTCAAGCTATGGGTGGCACCTGGCTCAACAAACTTCAGTCTGGTGCTCTGCCCTGAGAGCGGTGTCTGGCAGAATACAATAGCCAGCCAGGAAGATTTCCCTTTCCAGACTTTTTAGTGTGAATATGGGGAATCCATTGAATATGCATGGCTAGCCTTACTGGGTAATACTCTAGACGAGAGGTCTCCAAACTGTGGCCCACGTGCTGAATCTGGCCCTTTGCTTGCCTTTCACTGGGCCTTGGGGGACGATTACTTTCACAGATATTAAGCACTATTCTTTCCACTGACACCAAGGATGGAGCACTATTCCTTCCACTGATACCAACGATGGGGCACTATTCCTCCCGCTGACACCAACAATGGGGCACTATTCCTCCCACTAACACCAACAATGGGACACTATTCCTCCCGCTGAGACCAGTAATGTAATGCTTTTTACTCCCACTGACCACCAAGCCTATGGCATGGTTTACTCCCACCGATGCCAGGGCATTGTCTACTCCCATTGGCCATACTCTGGCCCCTCTACAGTTTGAAGGGCAGTAAACTGTTCCTTTGATTCTTAAGTTTGGAGACCCCTGCTGTAGACACAAGCAAGATGTGGCAAATGTATCAAGGCCTGCTAACACATAAGGGAAATAGTAAAAGGTGTTGCCCCAATCAGAAGCATGCTTACATTTTAAAAAATTTGATAGAAAAATATCAGCTGTTTGCAAGTTTCTATGAACAACAACTTCAGTAGGCTCTTCTTTGACTTGCTAACACCAGGTTGCCTTTGTCAACAATCTATAGAAGGGCCCAAAAGCTACACAGAACATTTATTTGTGCCCTGACTAGCCACCAAACCTACATGCAGATCCAAATATCTTAAATTTAAATTGTCTTAGGGTATGCCAAAATGTTGGTTTATGTTTGGTACAGTACATCATCCTGTTTTAGTGTTCTAAGTGATGTGTTACACAGGCACCCAGAGCAATGACAGATTTTCAGTGGGTAAACCTCTGTGGTATTGCAGCTTAAAACATAATTATTAAAATGCATTGTCAAGAAAAAAAAAAAGAAGTTCATATATGACAACCTGGGGACATGGAATGAACATGTAATCCCAAATTATTTACAAATGTAGCTAAGAGCTAATTATTGTCCGACATTCCTCTGTGTAGTGAAATGCAGATTTTAGTTTGAGGGTAAGGATTGAGTCACTGTTCATTAAATTTATTTTTTTTTCATGAAGCAGAATTATAGTTCAGTAATGTTTCTAAGGAGAAGTCAAAAGCTCACTGAGCAATTAGGACCTCTTGCTGTCTCTCAGTGTCAAACCTGATGTTTGTCCCTTGATAACGAATTCAGCTGGCCTTTCAGATGGCAACCATCTGACCCAACACCATCCTGAACTGCTGGGTGCTATTACTGAGATCCTTGACTCGTTCCACCATATCCTTGGCTGCCGATGGAGATGGGTATTGAAGTGCTGCTGTCTTGGTGGTGAGAACTATCTCTTTGAGCTTGTCACACATGAGGTTGCTGTAGTGAGTAACCTTGTTGCGGATGTCCTGAGCTTTGGCTTGCCGTGACAAAGTGTCCCCTATAAAGACCAACTTGTGGGCACTGAGGATGACAAACTTGCTGTGAGCTACAAAGATCTTGGGAGGCTGGTTGGTACTGATGGAGCTGTAAAAGGCATCAATGGCATTGGTGAGGGTGGTGACATTGGCCTCGCACTGCTCTTGGTAGAAGAGAAGAAGCTGCCGGTCAGAGTTGCAGAGGGTGCTGCGGACCTGGCTGTAGTGTTGAGGTGGTGTCCAGTTTGATAGGTCATTTTCAATAGGTCGGGCAACCTCCTCTTCCAGGCGTTCAAACTGTTTTAGCTGCAAAGAGACATCAACATATTTTGTGAATTTTACTTGGTAAAACTGTTCAGTATCCAATTAAAACATTAAACTCTGCACTATATTCTCAACATTTTTGAAGTTTAATGATGGCCAGTGCTGAACCAGCTCCTCAGTCTTTCCTTTCACTTTTCTACATAATCTTTTGTAGCTGCTGGGGTAGGTGCAAAGGGGTATCCAAGATGGTGGGGCCCAGGAATCTCAGGACTTTTGAAAGTCTGGACAAGAAGGCTTTTACAGGTAAACAACACGCATAAAATATATTTTAAAACATTTTTGTTGAAACGAAAGTTGTGGTGACACGGCTTCTCTGAGGTGTTAGGTTGGTCATAGACAGGCTCATAGTTAAGATTCAACAAATTTATATTTTTCTTATATATAAAAACTCAACCAATTATGTATTGGCAGAGTATCTCCTTGCCCATGCAAGGCAAATCATGGTGTCTCTAAAAAGGCCATCCCTCTACCGTTTTATACTCACCTTATCTTGCTCCTCCTCAGCTATCAAGAATACCTAGCACTTGGGTATGGGGGAGCATAGGACCTGCTTTCCTGTGACAGTGCCTCCACTTCTATGGATTGCGGACACAGCCTTTAGAGGTTGGGGATCCCTTTGCAGATACACCATCACTTTACCTAGCATGGGCAAGGGGACAGTGTCTCTGTAAGGATGAGCATTTTAGAAGGATATCACTTTCCTGTATAAGCCTGCATGCCTTTACACTGCCACAGCTTATTAGCCATGATTTAACAAGTGTTCTATTTAAACCTATTGTAAATTAACTTAAAGCACAACTCCCACCCTGTTTAAAGCTTTGGATATGGAGTAGGAAGTCCAAAGCTGGTCACCGAAGGCCCAAATTTTGAATGATTCCTGCTGAATTGCTCGAAATTCGAGCAGCCCCCTCAGCACCAAAATTATTGGCCGAACAGTGACTGCATCATATCAGGTGTAATCAATGATTGGGTATTCAGGCAGCTGTGGGTGCTGTGGCTGCCTGAATACTACTGTCAGCAGGGGAGATTCCTTCATGCACACTAAATGGATCAACTGATTTTTAAATCAAGACATGTATGGCTCGCATTAGAATTTTATTTTAGGTTTTATTTAGGCATACAAACTATTTGGGTTGATTTTCTTTCATTCCCATATCTGTGATCAGTGGTGTATTTAGGTTTTGTGCTGCCCTAGGCAACACAAAAATTGGCGCCCCCCAGGAGAAAAAGCCTGACATTGACCAAGAGCACCCCTGCCCTCCACAACCACTGCCCCCTAACGACGAGAGAGAAAAAGACACTGACATCCCCAGGAACGAGAGTCGGGCTGTGCATACACTGTCATGAAACCTACAGCATCTCTCAGAACCCACCAGGTCCCCATGCCACGTGTGTCCCTTCTTCCAAGGGGCTGCCCCCCCCCCCCTGAAAAATGCCGCCCTAGGCAAATGCCTTGTTTGCCTTGTGGTAAATACACCCCTGTCTGATGCATGTGCAATACATGAGGAGTGCAGCAGTCACTGGGACAGAGACCCTAACGCTTATCTGTCATGAGAGACATAAGAAGGCTACAAATTTTAAAGAACTCCGGGATAGGAAAACCCCCCCAAAAAACATTAGTACACCCCCTACACAAAACAGTTGATAAAAGTTTGAAAATCTTTACCATTTAGGAGAAAATTCTAATTGAATTTTCATGACTTCATCTCTGTCATTCAAAAGATAACAGCATCTGCTCTGCCAAGGAGGAGGTGCAACAGCGGGAATTACATCATTTCCTCTCCTCTCCTCTTTGCAGTGAAAGTAAACTACAGTTCCCATCAACCACAGGGAATTGTAGTGAATGTGGGCGGGAACTCTAGGCCTGTACATGTTGAATCTGTCTGAGAGTCTTGGTCCACCCACCCAGCAGCAAGTGGGGCAGAGGGATGTGCCAAGACCAGAGGCCAGGGGAATAGGAGGTATAGCAGCCACTGGTCTTACAAACAGGAAACCAAAGAGAATTAACAGTTTGATTTGAAATTGAATAGGCTATTTCAGAGCACCTACTGGGCGAACCAGAAGATGGAATATGTATTCAGTGAAGGTAGGAAATCAGCAACAAGGACATGTAAAGAAGTTTTTGCTTAGATATCTGCTTTAATCTCCCCTTCCGGGGAAGCTAGTTGCCTAAACGTCATGGTGACTATTTTGCTCTCATGCTCTGATTGAGGTTTCGGACTCTGCTCGAGGTTTCGGATCGGACTCTGCTCATGCCCATACATTCTCACAGACCCAGACTATGTATACAGATGCAGAGTAAGACCACTAGGATTTTTAGAAGGACTTCAGCAACGGTAACCTCCATATCTGAACAACTTCTGAAAGGAGAGACAGATGGACAAGTGTTCCCTTTACCTGATGCTGTTCCAGGTGACCTTTCCCTTGTCGAATAATGTTTCCTTTCTCTAGCAACTCCTTCTGTGTTTTCTCAAACTCTTCCTTACCCTGCACAAAAGGACATCATTTACTCTCCATGAAAATATCAACTGAACTCATAAATGAACAAATCACTTTCATTAATATTTTATGAACTAAGATTTTTTTTTGTTATTGCCATAAAGTGTATTCCTATTTCATATCTCTCTTTTCGGCTCCAGGCAAGAGAAAGGATTCAATCATAAATATGCAATGTGTACACCTAGGTACCGGGTCTGTTTTTTATAGAAAATATAATTTTCTGTACACTATTGGGGCTGCAGCAGTAAATTAATTCTATTTCAGGCAAACTTATTTAGGATGAAAGAACTAATAACAGTGCAATTATGTTCAACTGTCAGCATCGTCAATTATAAACTTACCCATTTGATGTAGAAAGATAATTTTTTTTAACTGGCACCTTATATGTAGAGGCAACGCTGCAGCTTCCAAAGTGAGGGCCAAGTTCAAATAACCTGACTACGTAAAGGATAACTACTTTCCTAAAGTTATCCTTTATAATGACCCCTGTGCTCACTCATCATCAATTCTGGCAGAACTATACTGTGTGGCCGCAAGGAACACATGAAAGGTATGTGGCCAGCACATCTTAAACTTCTGCTCAAGGAATCACCTTTATTGATGTCCATCCAGCATGCCATACAGCAAAGTGCAATGTATCAGAAGGGTCCCTTCATCAGGCAATCATGTAAAGTAGTGGTCTCCAAACTGCGGCCTTTTGCTTGCTTCTATACAGCCATCAGGGTACTATTCCTCCCACAGACACCAATAATGGGGCATTTTCCTTCCACTGACACCAATGACGAGGAACAAATCCTCCCCCACTAATAAACAATTAGGCACTATTCCTCCAACTAATGCCATTGATGGGGCACTATTCATCCCACTGTCATCAATGATGGGGCACTATTCATCCCACTGCTAACGATGGGGTACTATTCCTCCAACCAATACCAATGATGGGACACTATTCCTCCCTCAGACACCAACAACGGGGCATTTTCTTTCCACTGACACCAATGACGAGGAACAAATCCTCCCACTAATAAATAATTAGGCACTATTCCCCAACTAATGCCATTGATGGGGCACTATTCATCCCACTGCTAACAACGATGGGATACTATTCCTCCAACCAATACCAATTAAGAGGCACTATTCCTCCCTCAGACACCAACAACGGGGCATTTTCTTTCCATTGACACCAATGACGGGGAACAAATCCTCCCACTAATAAACAATTAGGCACTATTCCTCCAATGCCATTGATGGGGCACTATTCATCCCACTGTCACCAATGATGGGTGATGGGGCACTATTCATCTCACTGATAACAACGATGGGGTACTATTCCTCCAACCAATACCAATGATGAGAGGCACTATTCCTCCCACAGACACCAACAATGGGGCATTTTCCTTCCACTGACACCAATGATGGGGAACAATTCCTCCCACTAATAAACAATTAGGCACTATTCCTCCAACTAAATGCCATTGATGGGGCACTATTCATCCCACTGTCACCAATGATGATGGGGCACTATTCATCCCACTGACACCAATGATAGGGTACTATTCCTCCAACCAATACCAATGATGGGGCACACTATTCCATTTTCCCACTGACACCAGTGACGGGGCACTATTCCTTCCACTGTCACCAAATGATGGGGAATTATTCATCCCATCACCATTATTCATCCCACTGACACCATGATAGGGTACTATTCCTCCAACCAATACCAATGATGGAGCACTATTCCTTCCACTGACACCAGTGACGGGGCACTATTCCTTCCAATGTCACCAATGATGGGGCATTATTCATCCCACTAATACCAATGGTGGGGTTCTATTCCTCCCACTAATACCAGTGATGGGGCACTATTCCCCCAACTAATAACAATGACTGGACTGACTTCAAGCACTATGTCAAGTTTTTTTTTACTCCCACTAATGCTAGGACATTTTCTACTCCCACTGTTCACTCCGGCCCTCAAAGTCTGAAGGACAGTAAATCGTCCCTTTGTTTAGAAAGTTTGGAGACCTGTGATGTAAAGGATGATAGTACGATATTGAATATACAGTTATGTCAATATATAAATGTCTTGGACAACTTCCTGCTGAACATCATTTAAAAGAAGGTTTAATGGTACAACTTGCCACAGTTTTTTGCTCTGCTTCAGGGGTGCTTTTGCTTCTCATACTTATTCATTTTAACAGTTTTAGAACAATTATATATAAAAGTAGATACCTGTATGTAAAAAAACTATTTCTGTGCTGTCTACTTCAACGTGATAAATAATAAATAAGCCGCTGCAGTGAATCAGTGTGAAATAACTGTTTGGAATACTGTGGTGTATGTTTATATAATGGAGGATCACAATGAGTTCGGAGGCCTTTTTCACTGACTGGAAATTAGTGGGAAGCAAAGCCACAAACTGAATAATTGTGTTCACTTTATGTGCTTTTTCAGTTATTGTTTTACATGATCTTAAAATTAGAGTGATTTGAACAATTATTTTGTTAATGTTTTATTGTATTATAGTATGGGAGATTATATAGTAGTGCTGGAGTTTCTGATTTTTGAGATATCTGTATGTATTTTTATTTTCATATTTCATAAAGAAAACATTGTGGGGTGTTTGCACAATGTAGTAGCACATGCCAAGGATTATGTGAGATTAGGTGTCCCAAATCATTGGGTTTCTGGTAAATGCAACATTTTTAAAAAAGAGTAAATACCAAAAAGGACAGCAATGACAGTCTGTGTGTGTGCATCTCTCAGTTCATGCTTCTTTTAGCCCTGGTTCACACTGATACGGTGCAGAATTCGCAGCGTTTTCGGTGCGAATTCTGCACCACAGCACAATCGCACCAGGTTCATATAACTGATGTGGGTGTGTATGTTAACAACACCGTGACATCAGTCCCCAAAATGCGGTGCGATGTGCAGAATCGGATCGCATAGGTGTGAATACCTATGCGATCCGAATCTAGTGCGGACCAAAAAAGGGTCCTGCACCTTTTTGGTGCTGTCACTTCCTATGGTGGCACACCTGCGGGCTCAATCCTGAGCAGAGCTGCCTGCCTCTGTTGACATAGACAGTGTGGCTCAGCCCTGCCCCCTCCTCACAGGATGTGACTGACAGCAGAAGGATCCAATGGATACTGCTGCTATCAATTTGTCCTGTGAGGAGGGAGAGAGCGGAGAGAGACACTGTTTTCAAGCTAAGGTAAATATAAGGAGGGCTGGAGATGGTGGAGGATCCTGCAGAACAGAAGGGTCTTTACCTCAATGCAGAGAATGCATTAAGGTAAAAATCCTTAAAGTGTTACTAAAGTCAAAACATTTTTTAAAAATTAAAATAAAAACATGTTATTACTCACCTGATCTGTGCAGTGGTATTGGAGCAGCCCCAATTGAAGCAGCCCCTGGCAGTGATCTAGACTGCTCCTCTTTGTAGCGTGTCCTCATAGCAAGCTGTTTGCTATGGAGGCAAACAGTATCCGAGCTGTGTGTCTATGGCACCGTGCTCCATAGACTTACACAGCAGGACTTAGCTCTGCCTCCCACTTCCTCCTCACTGCATTTGATTGACAGCAGCAGGAGCAGAGAAATAGAAAACATTTTTTTTACCTTAATGCAAAGAATGCATTAAGGTAAAACGTTTTTAGCTTTAGTATCACTTTCAGCCTTTTAGAACCACTTTAAGCAATTTAAAGTGGAGCTCCACCCAAAAGGGGAAGTTCTGCTTTCAGGACTACTCCCCCGCTCCCCATTAAGGATTGGCACCTTTGGGGGGGATTTGACAGGTACCCACTCACATTTCCGGTCCGATCGCCTAGGCGATCGGGAAGAGAAGGTGTCTTCCCTCCCTTCCTGTAGTCTTTTGGGACACATGACAGGTCACAGAAGACTACAGGACCATTCATAATGCACAGTGCTACTCGCGCAAGTGCAGTGGGTACCTGGCTGTGAAGCCGTAAGCTACCACAGCCGGGTACCCACACTGAAGATGTCGGCCTCTTGGAATACAGGACAGCCGGTGAAACGAGCTGCGGGGGACAAACCGCGGGACCAAGGGATAGGTAAGTGACTGTTTTTTTAAAAGTCAACAGCTACAGTTTTTGTAGCTGCTGACTTTTATTTTTTGACAGGTGAGTGGAACTCCGCTTTAAAGAACTACTCATCTTGAAAGATTATGCAGCTTTTTAACTGAAAAAAAAAAATCTCCTTTTACGTGAAACCAAACTCAAAAAGTGAAGATTTGCTAAGTTATAGAAGTGGTAATTAAGTCTAAGCAGTACTATGAAAAATGTAAATCCCTGCCTCTACCAAGATGGCCACCTCCACATAGAGATAAACTGCACAAAAAGGCATGAAAATTCAGTAATGGGGAAAGATTTGCTGCAGGGACACCACAGACCGTACTGGTGAATGATCCTTTGCCCCATACCTGACTTTTTTGGGTACAGCTTCGAGTTCGGTTCCTCTTTAAATAACAGTAAGCACTCCACGTTATGTTCTTCTGGTCATATTGAGCAGCACACGCTGTTCTCCATTTAATACAAATTTGTATTAAAAAATGCATTATTGAATTAAACGAAAACATGTTTCCTTCTTATCCTAGTTTGATAAACAGTATAAAGTGAAATAAATTCAATTTGTAGTTTAATCTAAATCTACTTATGAAACCTAGTGTTATCTATCTAATTAATTATCCATCTGCTATTTTTTTCTGGCACTTTAGTTGCACTGTTCCAGGCTTGCTGTTTGGTATATCAGCAGTAGGTGGCGATAGCGGCTTTTAATTTAGAAGCCTGCCTTGTTAGGGCTCATGTACACTGCAGCTGATAAACTCACCTTCAGGAGCTTTTCTGCTTTTTTTTTTCAGCAGCCCCTGAACCCTCCCTAATGTTTTCCTATGTGTCCATGTACACATCGTCGTTTACAGTCATTTACAGGCAGTTGAGTTTACAGTCATTATTTTGAACACCCCAAAC